ATTCTAAATACTATAATTTGTTCAGATTTATTATTAACTCATTTTTTATTTTTTTTTGAGTTTTCTCCCTTTCTATTACAAAGGTCTCATATGTTATTTTAAAAATTGAAAAATTGATATATATATTAATAATTATTAATTTTAAAAATTAAAAATATTATTATTAAATATATTTTAATAAGATAAATTTTATTTCATTTTTTTTATAATTATTAAATATCAAATATTTACAGTTTTTTCTAAAATATTTATAAATAATTTTATACTTATAATTTAAGGGATAATATATTTTGATTATATATATAAATATTATAAAATTTAAACTAATGCTAAGTTTAAACACATTTTTTTGATTTTAAATATTTTGAATAGGTTTTAAACATAAAAAAATATGTTTATTATCTATTGAAAAACTGTTCAAAATTGTTTAATTTTCTAATATTGCTATAGATCATACATAGTATTTTATCTATAATATTATATAAATAATATAAATTATTAATTTAAGATGTATTTTAATCTAGAATTCTAGGTGATAAATTAAATTATTTAACTTGAGAAGTCAGATCAAGTTAAATAAAAATCTAATCTAACTTAAATTTCTTATTTATATTGATCTAATTATTACATGATTTGATCAGATTTATCTAACAAGTCAGATTAATTTAATTTGACTAAAAAGAAAATTTTTTCTATTTTATAAGTTAAATATATTAAATATTATTAAATATTATTAAACTATAAAATAATAATAATAAACAATTATTAATATATTTAATTAATTTACCTTTTATTATCATGTTTATTGAACTATTTATCATCATTCTTTTTGAACAATTCATTAATATTCTAATTAAATAATTCATTAGTGTTTAAGAAAAATGAATAATTAACTCAAGTAACAGGTTAACTTGATCTAAGATTAATTTAAAAATCTATTAACCTAATCTGAATTTTTTAGGTCAAATCAAATCAAATAATAAGTTGATCTAATTTGATTTAAAATTTTACTTTATATAATATTATGTAAATATTATAGACTGTAAATTATATAAATATCATAACAAAATGTAATTATTATATAATATTATAAAAAGTTTATGAATTGTAAATCTTATATAATGTTTTATATAAAAATATTTCAGACATATAAAGTAATCTATTTATCTAATATTACTAATGCTTTTTACTTTATATTATTAAAAAATTAATTATGTGATAAGATATGATAAATAAAGTTTTAATACTAAAAAATTCTGTTTAAAATATTTAATAAAATAATAAAAATGAAAAGTAAAAGAATACAATATAGATAATAAACATTTTACTATGATTATATGAGTAAAAAGATGTTAATAATATTATTAAAACTGTATATTAATAGATAAGAAAATCTCGTTTTTGAATTGAAAAATCTTTGATACAAAAAGTTAATTGCTTCAGAAGGGGTATTACTAACAGAGCTAATAATACCTTTTGCTTTCATATACATAGCCAAGCTGAAAGGCAGAAACTGAATTTCCTTTGATTACAGTAATTATAAAGGTTTTCTTAAATATATGAGAGTTTTTATCCTCAAACGTATAGAATATAGTGTATTATCATGTGACTGCCAATAGAAATGTCTAAATGCTTTTACAATGCAATTCTCCTACTAATGAAAACATTATATTTTTAAATATTTTTAAAGAATAATAATTCCATGTAATGAGAGATCCTACTGCGAAGCTATTTTTCATATTACAATTATCACCGCCAATCATTCGTAAATTGAATCCAAACATTCTAATGATTTTTTTTCTAAAATTCAAAAATATTTTTGAAGGACTTGTAGTAGTTGGGCGTTTGATAAAGCTTGTATATCAGCATTCTTCCATTTCGCTTGGCTACTTTTAATCCACAACAGATGGTTCTTAAAACCTGGGATGATCCTTTTCCAAGAATCATAATTAAAAGAGCGTAAGTAAAAAATCATGAATTCATTAGTTTCTTGAAGTACTAAGTCAGGAACAATCTCTATGCTCGTCTTCTTAATTTGAAAGTCAACCATCAAAGAACGGCATGTTCACATGTTTGAACGCATCTCTCAAACCGTTTCAATTTCACCTTTCCTAGCAGTTGACCTAATGTGAAAATTTTAATGTCAATTTCAATAAATGGTAATGGTAATATTGTATTTTTGTATACGAAATTTTCTTCCAATCTTTCTTATTAATATAAAAATAAATATCGTACCAATATTTCCAACGTCTGCTTAAGAGGCGTCGCATACATGGTGTATTTATCTGTTTCAAAATAAGTATGCACATTCTACTGTTTTTCTCTGTCAAAATAAAAGACAATTGGAAATAATAATAAAATAAATATCCATGTCCGTATTTATCCATAGTATTCTGATCAACCATTCCTAAACCTTTTTCATATAAATGTTAATTAGTATTTACAAGAAATAAATTAATGACCGTCTCTCTAAATGATACTTACGGGATATTATCGGACATACATTTCCGGTAAATACTAAGTTGGAATGCTCTTTTCAATATAATTCATCAATAACATGATCATTCACAGGCTCTGCCTCTTCCGTATTCTATTTAGGAGTTCGATTATATTCTCTTCGGGAATAGCAATATGTATTCGTAAGGATAAAGATGATGAAACGTTGATCCGTAAACTCAATTTATTTTAGTATATGTTGATCCGCACACGACTTTGAAAATTTTCTCCAATCTTCGAAATGTTAAAATTACGCGTTTATACGAAGAATCCGCATAAAGTTAGGACGCCATTACAGCACACTACTGCTCGAAAACAGCGTTTGGTTCTCGACTATATTGAAGAATCCTCAGCGACATAGACGAAAAGTTTGATGCTCAATTAGTAGAGCAGCAATCTGAATTTCAGCTGGAAAGTAATTATATTGATATTTGCTGTTAAGTTTTCTGAAGGAAAGAATGCCTGAGAGCGTAAATATACTACTCTTTTAGAAGTCGTGGTGTTACTAATGATCGCTGCTGAAAGTGCCGAACGTTACGAACGATTGAGCGCGTCATTTCCTTAATGATTAATTTAAAAATCTTCGTGTTCTGACTTTGGTAATTGGAGATTTACCCCGCTTTTTCTATTTCTATTTACGGTTAGTTTACTTTCTCAATTCATAAATTTTTTTTTTTTTTTTTTTTTTAAATAAATAATTTATTTGATGTTAATAAGCAATTTTTTATCTCAGCATTGAGAAAAAGGTATTTACGCTTTTATTTTAATAAAGTTGTGTTTTCATATATTCATTGAATAAAAACAATTTGTAATGTAAAGTGAAACCTTTTTGGTGAAATCGTTATTCAACTTGGAACTGAAACAACATAGATATATTATTCCTGGCGCAAGCTTCACATTGTTGGATACTTTGCTTTACTGAGCTAGGCGGTGGAAATGAAAGCTGCTGCTATATATGATGACAGAGAGTTTATCATTAATACACCGACATCGTTAGCTCAAAAAATTGGATCACAAACGTAGTAGATTTTAGAAGGCGTCATAATTCAAGAAATGTGAGTAGAACTAAATTTAGTTATATCATGCGAATTTTAGGCAAATTGTGATTAGAAATATGTTATCTTACAACGCACTTAACTTACAGGGGTTTCTTCAACTAGAACATCAACATTACGCGATACTAAATCTTTTAACATATCTTCTGACATTGATGAGTCGTCAAAATTCGTCGTGAGTACGTAATTTATGATTATCATATTCAATATATATATTATTCGAAATTAATTATTTGCTATTTTAGACGATTTTTGAAAGTCGGAGAGGTTATTACGTGATATATTATTTTATATATGTCATGTAATATGCGAAGGAATTAAAATATTTTTTTAAAAGCTGGATGAATCGTACACCACACAATCGCTTTCTTTCATTATTATCAAAGGGTAGTGTATAAAAGTGTAATTTGAAGCTTTGAAACGTCGAATATAATTAAAAATTCAGAATCGTAGAATTTTGTAAATTCTTAATAGTGAAAATTACCTACACTCGAGAATTTTCCTGATCATGTTGATAGAAGCAATGAGTTAAACTTCAACAAAGATATTGATTACTGCATTTCGACTGAAGAACTAATTATAAAATTCACAAACGATCTTCTGGTGGTATTAACGAGACATGTATAACGATAAAGCTTACTGGTCTTTCCGAAATGCGTCTAAAGATGAACAAAGCATTGATTTACGCAAGCGAAAGTTAAACATAATTCATTTTGAATGAATGGGAAGATGAAATACACGAATGTGTGTTTTAATGACAGAACGTGATGCAAGAGTTTTTAAATCAACGAATATCAAAAATACTAGTTATTGCTGATATTACGGTAGTTTATTTCATGAAAGTGGCACAGGAAACTCTTTTGACCATCAATAAATATGTCTTGTCCACAATTTGCAAAATGACCGACATTTTTTGGATTGCCAACTTTTATCAAAGAATGCATCACTGCTACCAGAAGTGTAATGATGACCATTATTCATGAATGTCAGGCTTTCATTTCCAAATTTATGGCAAATTGGGAAAGTTACATTTTCATCGTGTTACATGTGAAAGATACAAAGTAAATAAGTATTATTTCAAGATGATGTTGAATTTGCCCAAAAAGGTGGCGGGAAATTTATCGGAATACACGTGATTTGGACATACAATTTCCATTTCCGGTAACTACAATATATTAATTTTTAGAATTTAATTATAATTTGAATAAAAGATTATGGACTGAATACTATAAAACATAATAATTATTAAAGTTTTTGGCATAGTTTGATGATTTATTAGTGCTATAATAAATATCATTATTCATTTTTTCTAATAATTTGAAATTCAAACGAACATTTTTACGCGCGTTTGAAATGTGTGAATCGCGGCAATCACATGATCAAGTTACAGTTAACCAATAATTTTTGCCGATAAACCTATGTACCTCGATCACGTGCAATTATTAACGTTAGTTTGTCTTTGTCTAAAATGAAATCACCAAAAATAGTGTATTTTAATGAACATCAATTAAAATAATTGGGGGCTTTGCTCGTTTTGTGAAACAGTTGAAACAGTCATGTTGAGTATTTAAAAAAGTCGAAAAAAGAAATTTTATTTTTAATAATTTTTTTCCTTATATTACTTTTCTCTCTCTATCTTCTTAATATTTTCAAATTTATATTTTATTTTTCAAACAATTTTCATGCCATCTGATAATAATAATTCGCAATATCCATTCCCGAATGAAGGAGGAGGTATGTATGAATAACTTTTTGTTTCTGCGATGGTTCCATAGGTGAATATTTTCTCGGCAGCGAGTATATTGCAAGAAAAATTAACCGTAAAGGTTTTTTATTTTGTTAGTTAATCAAGTACACCGGCATCATTTTATTCTTCGAGACGCGTGTCAAAGTAACGTTTCTGCATCATTATTGAAAAATCTGATCTCTGATGCTAAAATTGGGTAAGTTTGTTAAAATGTTATCAGATTTGTTATCTCCTTCGACTTATCAAAACCTTATATTAACTTAGATGTAATGTGGGATCATGGATTCTCGAGTTGGCATCAGAGTATCCAAGTTCCCAATTTTACTGGAGTTTCGAATTGCCCACCAGGATTCTGAAACCTGGTGGGTTTATTGAATTAAATGAATTTGGATGTAAGTACATGACCTTTCTTATTTTATTCCCTTTTTTTTTTTTTTTTTTTTTTTTTTAAAAAAAAAAAAGAAATAAATTTTCTGTTTAATTTAAAATTAATAATTCAATCCATTCGAAAAAGGTATATAGATGTCTTGATATGTTCGATAATGGAAGAAATATCAAAAGCTAATCTTGTTGAGACCGACCATTTCGAAAAGGAATGCAAATTTTGGGATCAAGAAGGGAAATTAGTAAGTATTATCAAGTTAAATTCTCTTTATTTTATTTTTCTTTTCAAGAGATAAAATTATTCATCAAATAACCATTTAATTATAGGCTCTTAACAGTTACTTACATGTATAATGGCGATTCCTCATCTCGGTCATTCGTTGAAGAGGAAGTTATTAAATATATAGCCCCTTCTATTTACTTAGATTTATCGGAAGAAAACCTTCCTAATCTTCCCTTTATATCTTCATAATTTATTTTACGATTATTAAACTTGACTACTACAAAATATTTAATATTAATATTATTATACTTAAATACAATAAATTTAATAAGTTTTCCGTAATTAAACCCAAGTATTATTTATTAATCAAATGAATTGAATTTTTTTCTACAAAGTGTGTTATAAAGTATATAATTGTTAAAATCTACACAAAACCAGATAATGACACTTCGTATTTGAGAATAATATTTGGTTTTTTAAGTTTTTTATTTTATTTTTTTTTGTTTTCGCGCGTTATGGCTTAATTAATTATTTCTTTCACAATATATAATTATCGATCTTCCGTTAACTGATATAACCATAGAAAGGATTTAATTCTATAATATTGTTCATACATCTATTATAAAAAAGATACTCGTGTAACCTCTGACCTAATTCGATTCATCATCGATCAAATATGACAGTTCTACAAATTCTTTCCTTCGTAACCTTAAGTCCACAATACCAATACTACATAAAGGATCTTTACCTGTTGATAACGAACAATTAATCTTTCTGTATACCTCTTCAGCAATTATAATATCCTCCTGAGATGATAAGAATGCAGGGCAAAAATGAACAAGATCTCTGTTTCTGTTATTCTATCATTTGGTATTAACAAGATGCTGAAGACGATCACAGTTTAAATATCAGAAAGTACATGCTAACATGAATAGAATAATTAAATGAAAAAAAAAGTTCTACCAGATGATAAATGAATTATTGTTGCCTTCATCAAGCAACCAATCTCCGGAAAAGCCAATATCTACACGACCAGAATTTGTATTTCAGCACCGAGAAATAATGGGATAAAGACTAAGATGATAAGATACATCCGACAATTAATTATTTATAAATCAAATAAAATTTCAAAATTACTACCACACCAAATGCTAAATGGGATCATAAGCAATTCCACTTAACATTTTAAATTTTTCCTTATCAGATAGTCCAATTCTGATAATGTGAGTGTGAAAAATGACGCCTAAACCCTATGATAAAAAGAACATCATCATACATTATACTGAATATAAAGGGAAATATAAGTATATTTTTATTTACCATTCAGAGTTTCAAAAACGTTGCGTTGCGGAATGTAATTTATTAAAAAAAAAATATATCTCTTTTGAAGAAAGTAAACTAACTGAGAAAAGGCGGAGTAATATGTTCACAATTACCAAAATCAGACAAGACAAAATTTAAGAGCGTAGATCGCAAAAATTAGCTCTCAGATGATTGGTTGATGAATAAATTTTTTATAACGGTTAATTTTATTGAAAGTAAAATTTATCGAACCCAAATGATTGTATACAGTGATATTGATAAAGAAAAGGCAGGAAATAGTAAGGCGTAAAAATTCCTTGGTAATTTATATGAACGAAATTATATAACAAGTAGTGCCATAGATAAGTAATTTTTTTTTCCAAAATTTTCTTATATTCTTTTCTAATCTTTCATGATTACTTTGTCTGTGTTATCTAATCATGTCATCATCATCGTGCACGTCATATAATTTCAATCCTTTGTCTTTATAAATTCCCGTTCCAATAGCAATATCCAAGCGTTAACTTTGCGTTTGGATATCCGAAGTTGGTGGATTCTTTATAATATTGAAATGCTTTAAATTCATCCGTTTCAATACCATATCCTAATTCATAACATTCATCTAATTTATACATTGCAAATGCGTTTTTGTTTTCTGCTACTAGTTGATACCAGTAGAAAGCCTTTTCTAGATATTTTTCTGCTCCTTCCTCTTTTTCAAACAGAAGATCAACTTTAATTTGTGAAGCGCTATATCCTTGCTCGGCCACGTGACAATACCATTTAAAGGCCAGTCTTAAACTACCATTCGTTTCTTTTCCCGCATATAAACGACCAAGACTATATTGTGCAAGAGGATGACCAGATTTTTCTGCTTGTCGATACCAATAAATAGCCCACATCAAATCCTTTGCAGTCCCTTCCCCCATTTCGTATAAACGACCAAGATTATATTGTGCAAAAGGATGACCAGATTTTGCCGCTTGTTGATACCAATAAATAGCCCACGTCAAATCCTTTACAGTTCCTTCCCCCTTTTCGTATAAACGACCAAGGTTATATTGTGCATATTGATACCCCATAAATGATGCTCGTTGATACCAATAAAAAGCCTTGAACAAATCCTTTTCTGTTCCTTGACCAGTCTCATAGAAACGACCGACATTATCTTGACCAAATTCCAATCCGACTTGTGCGGCTCGTTCATACCAATAAAACGCTTTTTCTTGATTCATCTCCGTTCCTATACCTATCTCACATAAGTATCCAAGGTCGTTATACGCATATTTGTAACCGTTATGTGCTGCAATTTCGCACCAATAAAAAGCCTTTTCGTAATTCTGTTCCGTTCCTTCCCCTCTTTCATAAAGACCACTAAGACAATATTGAGAGACTTTACATCCACATTCTGCCATTCTTTTAATCATTTCAAAGTAATTTCTTTGATTTTCAAGATTCATTATATTTAATCGAATAAGTTTAATAATTTCAAGGATTATATTTGGGTTTTATATTTAGGTCTTAGTTATTCGTTTAATGAATTTCAAAGGTTTGTGCTGCGGAATTTTAAGATTTGTGAATTTTTGATATGGAGTTTGAATTAGGTTTGTACGGTTTTATATACGATAATTGGATCGGCAAACCCTAAATTATAATCAATGCGAAAATAAAATTTATATCATTGTTTAAATTGACAAGTGAGCTTTTGAGTTTTTTTTTTTTCCTTGATTTAATCTAAATATTCTAAAAGGAAAATCCGATAAAGTTTATTTTTAGGATTTCTGACATTCAACGCGACGCGTCATAGTTTTGTTATACGTGATTTTCTAAATATAGTATTATCGGTACCGTAACACAACGTTTTAAAAATGAAGACAAAGAAGCCAATTAAAAAAAGTACAAAGGAATCAGTCAGTAAATATTGTGTTTTTAATAATTTAATATGAAACATGTTATTATTATTAAATTTATTGAAAATTAAATTAAACCGATTTACTAATCCATCTTAAGACAGTCCATTTCTCTTGTGCTTAAATGATCATAAAGAATTTTACGCACCTTCGTTGTGAATCCTATTTTTGGCATAAGACGTATAATAAATATATAAATTAAAAAAAGGAACCTTAACAAAACATGGAGGGCGCATGTATCGAAGTGTGAATTTTGGACGAGATTTGAGCATTGGAAGAGGGATTTGGAAACAATGCAAATATTATATAAGAATGAATTATGTGCAATTTTGGCTCAAAAAAAACCTGAGGCATTATGTACCTTGAATTCATTTAAGCAAACGAAAAAACTGACTACAACCATTACCAAAGCAATTGAAATAATAAGAAAGGGGCTAATGGCAAATGATGAATTCTTTCAATAATTGCTGAAGATTATAGTTCGGAGCAGTTGAAAATGCTAAATGTAAGTATAAAAATAAATATTGATTTTAGATAATAAAATAGATTTTTAATATCAATAATTTAGATAAAAACATCATCATGAACCTTGAATGAAGCCCGAAAAATATGCATGACTTAATGGATCAGGATGTCCTCCTATTGAACAACCAATAATTACACGAATCATATATCAAATGAGGCCAAAAAACAGGATGAAATTTTTTTTCTAACAAAGAAATTGTTACAATGAGTTCTTACAAAGTAGACGCTAAAACTAACTGACCAGTTCTTTATCTTCAAAAAATAAAATCTGCAATTTGGAAATAATATTCAGAAATTTTTCAAATGGAATTAAAAGAACAACATTTATGACAAAATTAGTAAAAATACTAATATCAAGATTTAAGTGAATTGTATTCAACCTGTTGTAATTATAGTTATGATGTTTTTGATAACTTGATTAGTTTAACATCTTCAAATGTTAGAATTTTAAATAAAAAAAGTAATTATATTTGAATTTACTATATTTTGAAATTTTTGTATATATATAAAATTCTTAATAAAAAATTTTTTTTATTAATCAAATATAATTAGTCAAATTGAAATGTTACATCACTTATAAAAAGGAAATTTAAATAGGTTTATCTGTAAATCTTAATGTAAAATTAAAACATAATTCTTATATTTCTTATTGTCTTACAAATTTATTAGATATATATAAAGGCTTATATACAACTTTTTATTCAAGTTGTGAAAATCTCTTTTAGTCAATCAAAACAAGTTGATTTATTATATAGTTTATTTAATATAAAAAGTATATTGAAACAATCAATTTGAAATTTATCTCAAGAAACTTGATCAAATAGTATATTTATTTTAATAAAAATACTTAAACAATCAATAAAGAAATAAAAAAAGATTTTTTAGAAAAAAAGAATAGACTTTACATATCATATTATTATTTTACTAAAAAAGTAAATGACTAATTAGATATTCATTACTGATTAGACAATTAATATTAAAATATATACTTTACTATATTATCTCTTTATATAATTATTATTTTTTTAAAAAAAAAACCAAAATAAGTAATCTTTATTTTTAATAATAATCTTTATTATTATAATTTAACGCTAATAGTTATATTTAGTTATTAGTTTGATTAGTATCAAGTTGAAGTTAAAAAGTAATTATTTTTAGAACTAAAAGAAGCTAAAACTATAATTAATTCATATTATACAGTGACTTCCATAATTATTGTACCACTTCATTTGTAATTTTTAGATTGTAATAAATAAAATTTGATGATTGAATGATATGCAAATTTAATTAATGTATTGTCTGAATCTTCTTTTATAATATATTCAAATTCAAATTTCTTTTTATTTATAATTTTAAAAAAAATTCTTTTATAACCATAAATTTTATAGTACAATACTTCTAACGCATATAAAAATAAAATCAAAAACATAAATTTTTCAAATTTTTTTTTAACAAAATTATCACCATCTCATATATCCTCTATTAGCCTTAAGTACATCTTTAACTCATTGTGACATAGTATCAATTAGCTTTAAACAAAATTCAGTATTAATTTAATTTCATACTAATTGTATCTTATTCAATAAATCTTCTGCACTAGTAATATTATCAGAAAGCTATCACAAATGATGATCAATTTTATTTCACAAATGTTCAATGGGGTTTAAATCCAATGATTATGCTGGCCAATCTAAAATTTTAATATTATTGTTATCAAACCACTCATATGTTTTCTTTGCTATATGTTTTAAATCATTATCTTGTTAGAAAATGATATTATTTACATTTAAATCATATGCATTAAGGGTCCCTAAAAATTTATCTTCCAAAATTTTTCTATATAACTCTTCATCTATTCTTCCATCAATTTTACAATACTTTCCAATACTAAATGAACCTATACAGCTCCATATCATTACAGAATCTCCACTAAACTTTATAGTTAGTTTAATATACTGTAGTTATAAAGGTAAATTTGAATCTTTTTAACACCATTCTCTCTTATTCGAGCTAAAAATTAAGAATTTACTCTTATCTGACTATACTACTTTTCACCAATCTTCTATAGTCTAATTCTTATATTTTTGAACAAATTTTTTTTGTGCTTTTCTATGTCTCTTTAGTAGTAATATTTTTTTAACTCTAATTACAAAACTTTACCTTTTCAATGAGCATCAAATAGTATTTGATGAAATAACAATATTTTTGTTAAAAACTAAAGATTTTTGAATTTGAATAGCATTTGTAAATTCATCTGACTTAATAAGCCTAATAATATTCCTATCATAACATTCTATAAGTATTCTTAGGTGGCCTGATTTTAGAATAATATCAAAACTGTCTGTTTCTTCTTTTCTTTATTTAATTCTTATTACAGAAGCATAATTTATATTTTCGTGAGAAGCAATTGTACAACTTAGTAAACCTTCTTGGATAAGGATAAAAATATATTCCCTTTGATAAAGTAAAATTGCCTTTATAATATATTTTTTAAAAAAAAATAAAAAAAGGCGTACAAATTGATCTACTGATTTAAATTTACTTATATGTTTAAGATATTTCACACAATCATAACTTTATTATATTAATTTTGATTCCAAAAGTATTGTATCACAAAAATATTGCATATAAAGAAATTTTTTAAAAAGTCACAATTAAGTAATACTCAAATTTAAATATATTAAAAATCTGATTACAGACTTTAAATTGGTTTAAATTTTAGCCTTATAGTTACATAATTATTCAAGTATTACAATCTAAAAATTAAAAATAAAGTAATACAATAATTATGGAAGTCACTGTATTATACATAAGTATGTAATATATTTTTTTTATTTATAATTAACTAAAAATCTAATACTTATTACATATTTATATTACATATACAATCAGGTGATTTGTATACTGTAGAGTTAAGAAATTTTAGAAAAATATATTATATAACCCTTTTTAACAAAGTAAATAATATTGAAAAAATTATAATATTAAGAGATTAAGAAATAATTAATCAAATAAAGGGTTATAAAGAAAAAGTAATTAATCAAAAATTACGTGACAAATCATATGATATTAGACAAAGTTGAATTACATGATATTAAAAAAAATTAATTAAATAATAAAATAAAATATAAATCATTTAATATAACTGGAATATAATACAGATCTTATGATTTAACTAAAATATAATATAATAACTAAAAAGTAATATAATAATCAAAATATAATATACAAAACCTAGTAATATAAATAACTAAATTGTAAAAAAAGAAATAGTTAAAAAACTCTTAAAAAAAGAAGAAAACTTATAAATATATATAAATATTATATAAAGGTTAATAAAAAAACTAATAAACTGAAATAAAATAATACTTATATAATCTATATTATTAAAAAGAAAATTAATAAAAATAATAAAGAAGAAATATAAATATATATATAAATGTAAAAGAAAGAAAAAATTTATTATATAAAATAGAGAAATAAGAAAAAAAGAAAATTTAATTAACAAAAAATTAAGAAAATCTAAAAATAAAGATAATATAATAATGATATTATGGATATATAATGATAATACATAATGATAATTTATAATAATCTATAAAATTGCAAATGATATAATTATCAAAACTTATATTTTACAAATATATTATATTTTATAAATTAATATTATTTGTCTAAGAATTATCATTCATTTTCTTTATTATAATTTCTTGTAAATTTATTTTTTTTTTTAAGTTCTTTATTACTATTCTTTAATATTCATCATCTTATTTCTCATTAATTATTTTTTTTATTATTATTATTCTAATCTATTTTTCTATTTTTTTTATTTATATTATTATCATTTTTTGTCGTTATTTTTATAATCTTCATTATTAATTTTTTTCTAATTTTATATTTTTCCATTTAATTTTTTCTTTTTAAATCTTTTAATTAATTCTTCTTTTTCTGTTTATTATATTTTTTTTATTTCAAATTATTTATATTTCACTTCATTAAAAAATTTTTCTTTTCTAAATATTAACTTCCTTTTATTCCTTATAATTATTTTTTCAATTATTTTATTTTTTTTAAAATTAAGTTTTAGACCTTCCGTTTGATTATTTTATTATTATTATTAAATTTATATTATATATTATTTTTATTATCAATTATATATTATATATTATTATTATTATCAATTAAAAATAATACTACAACTATGTGATGCTTATTTGTTACTGATTGCAAATAATTACAACTCAATTTTTATTAATATTATAATTAGTTGCAATCTTGTGATGTTTATTTATCACTAAGTGTAACTAGTTGCAGTATTATCTTTATTATTAATTATATATCATATGATATTATTATTATTAATTATATATTATATATTATTGTCATTATCAATTATATGTATAATTATTTATTCATAAAGTATTAAACAATTTATACCTTTATTTCTGTTATATTCTAATAATTTATTTATAATTTATTATTCAGAGTAAATCTATTATTATTTTTAAATATTAAATTAAGTATAATTCCTTTTTATTATTATAGTTTTATAATACATAAGTAAGTGATTTACATAATTTTTTTTTAGTTTCAATACTTAAATACTAGAAATTTATATAGTAATTATTTTAACCTTTTAGGATTACAGATAAGTTTTATATGCTAAATTCATGATCTGTAACTACGCTAAAATAAAGTCATGTGATCTAAATGGTCGATATAGTTGACAAAGTTGATGAAGTTGACAGAGTTGCTAAAGTTGTTAACGTTAATCAAGTAAGCATATTAGATATATGGATTATATTTATTAATTATATCTTATTTATTATATATATATATTTATCATAATTATATTATTTGTTCTCTTTATTATATTTATTATAGTTGATTTTATATTATTTTATTTTATATAAATATTTTGTATTTTCTCTTGAATTGA